GGGTCATTCTACGTATGGGTTTGTTATCTTGACCTATATTGTTACATGTTTAATTTCCAGGGTCATTCTACGTATGGGTTTGTTATGTTGACCTATATTGTTGCATGTTTAATTTCCAGCGTCATTCTACATATGGGTTTGTTATTATAACTTACACAGTAAAAGAAATAAAAAATTCTTATGTCTTCGATTATTTTCTATATTCTGCATTAGCATAAAAAAATTCGCAGAGAGACATGGGGTGGACATATTACAAGAAACCGATCAACTTCTTTTGGATTTTCTTCGAAGCGATCGGATGATCTAATGTCTTGGTTACCACAAAAGGAAGAGGATCGTCTAGCTGACATGTTTACGAAACAAGAGCTTCCGAATATATTAGAAGAAGAGTCTCCGCCCGCAGATATGAATAATTCAATGCTGTTGACAAAAAGTTTTGATTGTGAGTCACAATTTTCTGTATTTACGTGTGAAACCAGAATCTCATTTCTTTTAGGAGATTTCAATGATACTGAAATGCATTATGATTTTTCATAATTTTATTAAATATTTTGTGAGAATTTACATTTATAATGTGTGTGTGTATATATATCTAGTACAGTGTTTTTACTTTCAAAAGGAAACTTGAGTTTATCCAAAAAAGTTCATAAGTTGTAGATTTTTAAAAACTTAATATCAAAAATCACTTTTACTCGTTGCTCATATTAACAGGCATACCACCAATACTTTTTGAAGCAGACCTCCAAATTTCTGAAAAAAGACATTTTTGCGAATCTCCTTTTTTTGGAGGTGTCAGCAAGAGGAAACGGAAGGTTGTTTTTAACATCCCCATGTTTGAAGACGCAGATACTCAAACTGAGGTATGCGACAAAAGAGATATGAAATGTTATTTCTACATGCTTTTCACTATGAATCTGTAATGGACAATTTAAGAGAAAAGTGGGTAGGGGTGGGGGCTCCAGTTAACTTGAATTTTCATCACAAATTTTAGGCATATTGATTTCTAATGTTTGTTCAAATTTAGGCATTTAAACTGTAACTTTTAAATCATTATACTGTATATATAAGTAGCTTTTCAGAGAATCTTTTTTTTTTCCCCCCATTGCCCAGTCAAAACTTGTTAGTATTTTATACAGTAGCACACGTTCCAGATAGGGTGGTGATGTGAGAACATAAAGTGTTTATGTTTCACACTAGAAGCACTACCTTCACATGTGCCCACTAGTTTGAAATATGATTTCAACATTTTTCACCTCTGTTACAATGTTGTTTACACATTTGCGTTTTGAAAACTGCAAGAATTGATGACTGACACCACATTATACGAGATGTTTTATAGAGCATGGAATTTAATCCTGGAACTTCCAAAAAAAAAACATCTTGTATGGTTTAATAACCCAGTGCAAATGATGATTTTAAACAAATAACTGTAAAAAAATCTTAACAAATGTACAATCATATTATGAAATTTCATTTTTGAAGGAGAATTTGTTCATTTTGTTTTAAGTAATATTCGTCATGTTTAAACTCAAATCTTGTACGTTGTACGTTTTTTGAATTTCCTCTCACTGGAGTTGTCACAAAAATAACAAAGTAATTTTTATAATTTCCATGATCAAAGACAGAGAAACTGAAAGTGAGGTACGTGTTTATATTAGAGATATGTTATGATATGTGATAAGATTGTAGCAATTTTCTTTGTTACATGTATGTTTTAAATATAAGAGACAACATCGAGGCTCTTGACTTTTTACTGTTGCTGAGGGTATTTGTGGATCACTTTGTTTTATAAATTGTAACACATTTTATTTTATTTTTAAAGGTCAGTCATACAGATGCTGAGGAACAGCAGTTAGTAAATATTGTGGCATCTCTGAAATCTGAAATTAATCACTTGAGTTGGAAAGTTGAATCAGTGTGAGTTCTACAAATGTTTTTAAAATTCTGACTGAGATGGAGTACTGGTGTCACTGACAAAAGGAAAAACAAGTGTGAAGAAAATAATGTTTATATATATCTTTTAAAATTTCTTGACTTTGATATTAGCACTTTTCAAGAGTAACTATATTCTGAGAAATATAAGCTTGAAGTGACTTAACTTTAAGGTAAGTGAAGAAATGGATAAATAATTGGCCTTTATATTTTCTCAAGTCTTTTTAATTTCTTATTTGAAGCATGATTAATCTGTTCCCTAACTATTGTACGTGGGTCAACACTATGACTTTCACGTGGAGCAAAGATATTTTCAGATATCTGTGATCCAATTTTCTGATTGGTTAGGCACAGAGAAGATGTGGAATGTGACATAAGTTTTAGAATTTACAGGTACATTTTTCTGACCAGAAACATTCAAGTCTTGCTGTGTAAGTCCTGCCTTCTTATCCCTAATTAACCCACATTGTGTATCAGACACTTTTCAACTTGGTTTTATTTTAATACTTGCAGCTTGTTTTATGTAAGCACAGTTTTATCAATGCTCCCATGATTAACTGTTTGTCAGTGCTTCACACTTACCACACCAATCTTCAACATTCCAGCCCACTTTCAAGTTTAAGGTAGAAAAAAAAGTTTAATAAACATGTTTGAGAAAAAAGTTATCAGTCCTCGTACAGTAAAATAAATTAAAGTTTGCTTCATAATATGGTCCTTTATGGTAGATCACATTTATATCTGTGGAATAAGTACAATGTAGTTGTATTTTTTTTTCCCCCAGTTTTTCTTCAAAAAATTTTCAAGTGAAAGTGACCCTCCCCCACCACAGTGGTATGTCTGCGGACTTGTACCGCCTAGAAACTTGGTTTCAATACTCGTAGTGGACAGAGCACAGATAGCCCTTTGTGTGTAGCTTTGTGCTTCGTAATGAACGGCAACATGTGATGTGTTAAATGCATTTTTATACTTCATTAATCCATTACTACAATAATTTCATTTCTCTTCAAAATTGTATTATTTCAAGCTGTTCCCGAGAAACTTGTATTAAATCTAATATCAGATTTCATATTTTTTTATCCAAGATTTGGCGAAACTGTTATGATAAAAATTAATGTCTGGACGTTTTTAAGGCAAACCGACAAATATCTAAGCATGTGTGAAAAACTTTTGATTTTTTCTTTAAATTCAAAACCCTGGGAATATTTAAGGGTTTGTTTTCACACCGTAATGGTTTGTCAATGAAAATGTGTTATATTAGATAATTTTGAGGCTACATATAAAAGTAGCTTAGGTACTTCAGGAATGTTTAAAAATAGAGGCTTGAGATTCGAACTATTTTGAGCCATAGCATAGAACCGTTCATCTGATGTAACGTTAGCTATGCTGGTCATTAAATGTTACTTTCATTTGAACTTGGCTTAATGCATTTTTTTCATCAGTTGAGCTCTAATTAAGAAGATATCACCGAAATGGGGCTTCCGCTCGGGCAGTTTGCCCTTTCGCTTTTCTTTTTAAACTCTGTCTTTATGTGGTTCACCCTAATTACTATACCAAATTTGGATCAGCCAGTTCTTCACAACAGCTGGAGGTCCAAATGATGGATGCACAACTCTGCTGATCACATTGTAGGTATATCTGTATTTTATCCCTTCATACACATTATTTCTGTATATGCATCACATTACCTCTCCCTGTCAGACATCTCTGAATTAAAGTCATGCATAGGAACTGTTCTAACCACAAATGTTTTCAAGTTTTTTTTTTTTTAATTGACAGTAAATTGCCAGACTTCAAATGAATGAGAACACGTATAGATTTGAATTTTGTAAGTCTGTCTGTCCGATGTACCTGAATTGAATGTTAATTATATCTTATTTGGAAATGTCAGAGTATAGGTTATGAACTCACAAATTAGCCTTTCGTTTCTCTCGATTTCTAGTTGATACAGAATATTTCTCTGTCTATTGTTATAGTCAGGAAAGAAACTCCTATTTAGAGAAAGAATATCAAGAACTAAAGGAATTTCAGTCTTTAGAAGTTCAGACATCTCTTGAAGATGATGTGCGTGTTGAAAATAGTGAAGTAAGTGTTTGACAACAAGAAGTTTTCAGTAATTTATTAATATAAAAACAACCACTTTCTACTCCTTCTCTTCACAGTTATTAAATCTAAATACTAAAGTCTTGGATATTGACATTTTAAAAAGTTTCCAAAAATAGGCCTTCAAGGTGATTTAGTTAGTCAATTGTTTATTTTGTTTGAAAAATGATTCAGCTCTTTAATTGTTTATTATTTTTAAACATTAAAAGAATTATGTAAAATGTAGCATGTGTTTTTTTTATAAGTATTATTTATATTTATAATTACAACAGCTAATAAAATATGCAAATTTCATAGGTTGTCTGGTTAATTAATTGAGCAATTTAAAAGGTCGTAATATTCTTTTAATGGAATTATTGAATTATATGTATTTTTCTGTCCTTTTCAATACA